GACACTGTGTCCACGTTACTGGGCCGTGCGGTCCCTCGTCCACCTGACCGCTGCCTCTGCCTGGACATCCAGGGTGCCGCGCAGCACTATCTTCTGGGGTCTCCTGAGTGGTCAGCCGTCCACTGCGGCCCGTCGGGGGTCCTGCAGGCATGGACGCCAGTTGAGGGCAGCTGAGGCCCTGCCACTCCCAATGCTGGACACGGACGTCGTCCTCACGACCTCCACTGAGCCCAGCAGGGTTGGGTGGTGTGACTGGGGGTGATGTCCGGTGTCCAGATCTGCCGCCCCTGCGGGGCATTGTCACCACTGAGTGGGCGCCATGTGCTTCACAGTCTGCACTTGTCCCCAGAGCTGACGTGAGGCCTCATTCTGGGCTCCGCCTGGCGACGGCCTCTCCTCACCCTCCCCCAGAGCATCTCTGACCGCCAGCGCCCAGCCCCTCGGCCCCTGGCTGTACCCCGGCTCCCCGCTCGGGCGGTCCACGTAACACCCATGGTCCTGACGGCCAGGGAAATGGGTGGGGGGAGGTGTTCCCGAGGGAGACTGGGGGCCCTCTGGGGCTGGGGGAGTGCAGTGGGTGTGCAGTCTGGGGGTGTCCTCACGGCCAGCATGGTGCTCAGCCCGTCGGGGGCCTGGAGCTGGGCCGGTGGCAGCTCCCGGGGGCTCCGGGCTCAGCCGTCTTCCTGCGCTGCCCTGGGCTTCCCTCTGGGTTCACCTCTGGGTGGGACCTGATGGCATTAAAGGGCTCTGGGCACCCCCGGCCCAGAGAAGACAGGATGGGAGCCGTCTGAGCTCAGAACCCCCTTCCTGAGCCCATGCTGAAGGGGTCAGGGCACCCCGAGGGCTCAGAGAGAGGAGATCAGACCCTCGGGGAGGGAGGGACCCCTCCTCGGGAATTCCTGGCAGCCCCATGCCCCACCCCCCCACCTCTGAGTCCCCAGGCTCGGGACTGTCACACCAGCAAGGGCCTCTGTAGGGACCCACGGGGCCATCCCCCAGCCTGGCCTTTGCCCAGGGCCCTGGGCTGGAGAAAGTGTCCCTGCACTGGCAGCTCTCGGCGGGCCCCCCACCCACGTTGGAGCCAGTTCCCAAGTCCCCCCGAGGCCTGGGGTGACGTGAGCCCAGGGCGGGGTGCTCCTGAGAACCTCCTCGGCTCCCCAGCTTCTGTCCCTGCCCCGTGGCTCCCATCCCCCGGCTTTCACTTCTGCTCCGTCGCTGGCAGCTGCGGGCCCCACCCCGGCCCCCTGGGCTCTCAGCTGTGCCTGCCTGTGTCTTGGGGTCCTCACCCCTCTAGTCTGCCGGTCCCAGAGCCACAGTCTGGCCCCCCCAGCCCCTACCCAGCGTCCTGTGGTCAAAGGGGCCAACCGCAGGCCGAGCGCTGGGCCCTTATCCGGGGAGGCGGATGCCAGGCGCGCCCTCGTGGAAAGAGGAAGCCGCCTGCCCTTTACAGCAACAGCTGGCACAGCCCATCCTCCCTTCCCCGAGCCCCTGGCCCTCGGTGTGGCCCCCACCCAGCTTCCACCCCACCCACACCTCCAGCAGAGCGCAGCTGTGGCCAGCAGCCGCCTCCCTGGCCCACCTGGCCCCAGACCCCAACCTGCCCCTGCCCCCTCGTCTCTGCCTGTCCTGTCGCAGGGTCACCCCTTCTTGCTGGCCAGGAAGAGAACTGTGGGAGGGCTCCACGAGTGGGTCTAAGATTAGGGCGGTTCACGAGACCCCTGAGGCCTCCTTCCCACACTGTGCTCACCAGGCCGCTGGGCAGCTGGTGGCCCACCGGGGCTGGCCAGGAGCCCTGGCCGCACTCTGGGTGACCTGGGTAGTCCCCCCTCTCCCCGCAGGGAGGTGGAATCCCCTAGGGAACAGGGACGCTGGCTCATCCCCCAGGAAAGTCTGTGTGCCCTCAGGAAAGGGTGGGGCTGTCAGCAGAATGTGAAACCAGGGCCTCGGAAGTGACCCTGAACCCCTCCCCACAGAAACCCACTGTGCTCTGGGGGGCAGCAGCCCTGCACCCTCCTGTCTGCCCACCCACTGACGGGCGACCCTGGGAAGGATACGGGGACAGAACTTTGGGGACCTGGATGCCTGCCGGCCCCTGCCCCCAAGGATTGAGGACGTGCGCCTGCAGGGCCATCTGTGCCCAGGCCTGTGCCAGAGGCCAGGGCCGCTGGGGCTCCTAGCCCTGGAGCAGGTGGCCGCACAGCAGGGGGGTGGGCAGGCAGGTGGAGTCAGCCCGACCTGGCTTGTCGTGGAGCGTCCTGTGCCAGGCAGGTGTCCAGCCGGGCTGGGGTCGGGCCTTCCTGCTCTGTGCCCGGCCTGGCAGCCCCTGCAGGCAGGAAGCTCGGCCCAAGCTCTCTCCCAGGTCACTCCTGCTGCCGTGGAGGCCTGTTCCGGAAACCTCCAGGGATAGGGCACCTTGTGTGGGAGGGAGCCTGAGGTTGCCTTCTCTGCAAGGCCCCCATCACAGCACTCATGTCCAAGGCCACCTGAGTCCTGCAAAACCCAAGCAGAGAGGGGAGGCAGGTACCTGGCAGCGCCCCGTCACCGGTGCCCCCTGCAGCTCCAGAGAGGCAGGTGGCATCGGGTACCCCCTGCACCCAGGCAGGCCGTGGGCGCGGCTCTGAGGTCTACAACCTGGCGTGTAGGGAAAGCCCTGGCAGCGCGCGCTTAGTGTCGGGGTGCCCACCCTGCCCCTCCTCAGCCCCTCAGGTTTCCTCCCCCCACCCCTCCCCCACGCTCAGAACCCTCTGGTCCCTCCACCGAGTCAGGAGAAGCAGGTGCCGCTGGGCGGCAAGTGCGCACCGACTTGCATCAGGGCCCACCCCACAGGCCTTCCTGGGCTCCATCCTCTGCGGCCCTGGGGTCCCCAGGCCCACGGCGAGGGTGCGGGTGGGGGCCTGCCTGGAAGGAAGCCCTGCATCCTGAAACCCTCCAAAACCAAACCTCCCTGTTCTGGCCGGGCGGGTGGGGCGGGGCCAGCTGGTGACCCTGGCCGGGCCTAGTGCACGGCCAGGCTGGGCGCGCTGCGTCAGGCATCCAGGGCTGTGCTCACGGTGCCCTCCGCGGGGCTCCCAGCCAGAGCGGCTGGCAGTGGGACCACCGGACAGATGCTCACCTGTGAGCACGAGAAAGCGTCAGACACGGGGCAGCGGTGGAGAAGACCCCCCCACCCTGCCCAGTGAGCAGGACACAGGGCCCAGGAGCTCCGCTGGAGAAGAGGAAGGGGCTGAGCCACCAGGGCCGGGGTCAGAGACCCTGGTCCTCAGGCCCAGGACGGCTGCGGCACCTCGTCTGGGGCAGGGGTCTCCTGGCCTTGGGGGGCAGGTTCTGCTCGGGCGAGCGGCTGCGGGGCTGGGGCCGGGAGGAGAGCACCGGTGCGCCTGCTCTACACGCCCGGGGCCGGACTCGTGGAGGCGCCACGGAGAGGCCCAAGTGACCCAGTGCTGCGGCTGGCGCCGAGTGGGCAGCAGAGCCCAGGCAGCCAGGCCGGGTCATCCTGTTTCCCTCCCCTCTCCTCTGTTCTGCGTACACCTGGGGTTCCATCGGGCGCCAGAGGGCTGCAAGAGCCGGGCAGGATGGCGAGTTCCCATGAGTCCAAACCCCCACCCTGCTCTGCCCTCGGCGGGGCCTTGACCTGGGGGACGTGTGGCCCACACCCCAACTTCCTGTTTCTAAGAAAAAACAGTCCCAGAAAAGGCTCTGGTGGTTTGTGGAGGAGGTTCCCTGCCAAGGCCGGGCCGGGGAAGGGTGGTGTTGCGTCCAGAGGGCTGCAGCCGGCGCAGCCAGGCAGGTGTCACTGGCCGCGTCACTGGGGCGTCTGCCGTTCCCCACAACTGCTTCCCCGGCGGGAAGGCAGCGGCTGCTCCAACACGCCCGGTGTTGGGAGGCCCAGCTGGTCGGGGCTCCTCCGCCCAGTGCGGCCTCCCTGCAGGCACCCCTGCCAGGACACGGGCCTCGCCCCCGCCTTCCTGCGCCCCCGTGCCTGAGGTTGGCGCTGGGCCGGGTGCCCGGGCCTTCCCCCAGCCCCGGTTTACGCGGCACCCGCGAGACCGCGTCTCGGCCAGACGCCAGGGTGGCCCCCGGCCCTGGAGGTACCACCCCGCCTTGTCGGAGGCAGACTAGGCTCCTCCCCTTGCCCCGCCCACCCTGGGGGGAAGGGCGGGGGCGGAGAAGCCCCTGGAGAATTATAATGCTGGTTCCCAACATTCCAAATTCCTGCTCCTTCCGGCTTGGCCGGAAGCCGGGCCGGGGTGGGGGGAGGCGTTGGCGCGCGGGCTGGGTGCGGAGGCCTGTGGTAGGCCCTTTTGGGGTGAACCTAAGCCCCTTTGCCGCCTGCTTTGCACGCGGCTCCGGGTTCCCGGTCCGGAGTCTAGGGGTGCGGGTCGGGGGCCACGCCCTGCTGGGCCAAGGCTGCGCGCCACCCCAGGAGGCCTCTCCCAAGTCACGCGGGTCTCGGACGCCCAGCAAACGTGCCGATGGGGGTGCAGAGCGCGAACCCGAGATGCACCCCCAGCACGGGGTGTCCGTGTGGGGCCCGGCACCCAGTGAATCAGGCAGCGAGTAGGTGTCTCCGCCGGAGTGAGTCACCCGGAGGGTGTGCGCCCCTCGTGGGCGGTGCTAGGAGCCTGGGGGGCGGGCTGCGGGGACAGGGGCGGTGGGTTACGCCCTGCCCAGGAAGGCCCTGCTCCAGTCGGGACAGGGCAGATCCCCCCACTTCCTTCCCCGGAGCTGCCTCCTGAGATCCAGCGAGGCTGGAGAGGGGAGGCTGCTGCGCCCCATCTCCGCAGTCGAGGGGGCTTCCCCAGCAGAGCCGGGGCGGCGGGAACGCAGGCGGCCGGGGTCGGGAATGGCCGCGCAGCTGCCGCGCCCCCGCCCCGTGGCCTCAGTTTCCGATTACGCGTCTACAGAAACCCCGACGCGGCCCCCGGGCCCCGCCGCTCGGTTTCACTTCCCCTCCCCCTTCCCGGCGGGGGGCGCGGGGCTCTGTCCGCCTCCGATTCCGACGGGGGTGGGCACGGCGGCGCTTCCGGCCGTGGGGCGGGGTCGGAGATGGGGTTACGACGGGGCGGCCCGCCCCCGCCTAGGCCCCTCCTCTCCACGCCTGCGCCGGGCGCGGGGGTGGGGCCGCGCGTTCCCCCGCCGCCGCGAGGTCGACCCTTCCACCCACCGCGAGGGGCGGGATCAGGTTCAGGCCCGGGGTGGGGGTGGGGGTGGGGGCGGAGCGGGCCGGGGCAACCCACACGCCGCAGCCCGGGCACTCGGGCCCGGGGACCGGGGGTGGCGCGCGCTCGGGAAGGAGGGAGCGGGCGGCAGGAAGTGCCCCCCCTCCCGCCCTGCGCGCTGGGGAGAGGCGGGATGGGGGGGAGACAGAGGTGTACCCTGTGGGGGGAGGGGCCTTGGGGGCACGTTGGGCTGGAGCCCCCGCGCCCTCGCTCCGGGGTAAGATAGGGGCTCCCCACGCGCTCCGAGCGTCTCCCATGCGGGGGCGGGCGGGCGCTGACGTGTCCACGCATCCGAGCGCCGCGCGGCCTAGGGGGGGCCGGGGTGTCGGCGCGACCCCCGGCGGCGGAGGCGGGAACTGCACCTTCGGGCCGAGCGCGGGGAGGGGCTTGCTCCGGGGTCGGCACACGAGCCCGCCCTCCCCAGGAGGTTTCCGCTCAGCCTGCTTGGGTGTCCTTATCTTTGGGGGGCCGCCTGCCTTTTATGCCAGATCCGAAGCAAAACGGATCCTTTAAGACCCCTCGAACTTTGGGCAGCGCGTTCCCACCGGTGTGGAAAAGCATCCCTGTGAGAACCCTGCGCGGGCTCCCTGGAGGCCTTGGGCCCCGTCCCGCCCCACTGCCCTCCATGCAGGCGCAGACTTGAGTCTAGTCACTGCTGGGGGGGGGGGGGGGGGGGTGGGGAAGCCCCAGGGCACCCCAGCCCCCAGGGTGGGAGGTGGGATGGGCCTTGAAGGATGTGACCAGAGAAGGCCTCGCACGACCTGCTCCCCTGTAGAAGTGCTCTCCCCGCCTCTCTCTCTGTCCCTGTCTTCTCTAGGCCTCGCCGCCTCTGTCCCCAGCCCTCACTGTCATCAGGATGATAACCCCCTCGTCTACACACCCTTCCTCTCCCTGGCACTGGCTGGTACTTGGGGCCCCCTCCCCAGGCCCTGCCTTGCCTCTGGGACCTCACCTCCCCACCCCCCCAACCCCACCAGCTCACAGCAGGTCTGGACTGTCCACTGGCCAGCTCTCCAGTGCACCCGCTGGCCAGCAGGTTCTTTCCAGATCGGGGCCTTTGTGGTGCTCCAGGTGCACCCCCAGCCCTGACCCAGGCATCTGCCTGAAGGCTCCCCTTCATCTCTGCTCCACCTTTGCCCTCTTTTCTAGTGGGGTCCTCGAGAGGGGCTCACCAAGGATTAGCCCACAGGATGAGAACCCCTGGAGGGCGAGCCCGGCCTCGATCTGGTGCAGAGGCCCCCGGTGGCTGACGCGGCCAGGCTGGCATCTGTGCTGCGTGGAGGGCCAAGGAGTGTTGAGGGCTCGGGGGTGCGGGGGGTGGACAGCACTCCTCCCGGGCCCCTCCCCAGGTGGTCCCACCCATTGGGCTCTGGAGCCACATCTGTGGGAGGGAGCTGTTCTGGTTCCTGTTGCCGGGTGTCCAGGGGGCAGGGTCGGGGGCGGCTGACAGTGCTCTGAGCCCCTGTGGACGGGAGGGTTACCAGGAGGACGGGTGTCCGTGTTCGGGGGAGCAGTCCCGCTCAGGGGCCGTGTGGGGCGGGAGGGCTGGCCTGCCGGCTGAGCCCGCACATCTGGTGTCCCCATGACAGTCCTATTTATAGTCTCCATCGGAGAACGTCCCCGGCCGTGGCAGTGGGGCGCCCGCCCGCGCCTCAAGACCCAGGGCCTCGCGCCAAGAGGAGCCCGGGCTGGGGCAGCTGTGGCCAGTGTGGGTCACCGCCTGGCTCGCTTGCTCCCGGGACGCCCCCAGGCTTGCTGAGGGCCAGAGGCGGTCCCGGGCCTGAGGAGGGGGGCCCGCGGCAGCCGCTCCCCACCTGCCTCCCAAGGTCCCCTGTGCCCACCCCAGCCTGGCTTTTCCATCAGAGAGGCCCCGGGCTGGCCCTCAGTGGCTGTCCCTGCCCTGAAGGGAGGGGGCAGGAAGGGGGGCGCCGCGGGCAGCTGTCTGTGTGCCCCGGTGGTGCTGAAACAGGCCTGGAGACCCTCGCCGACTCCGCCAGGACCGAGGGCTCCCAGGACACCTCGGGCTAGCAGTGAGCTCACCGAGCGGGCCAGGCTGCCCCGGAGCCTGGCTGGCAGGCTGGCCCCCCTGCGCCCTCCAGGAAGCCCTCCCTGGGGGTGGCGGGGGGGTGCTCTGCACAGCTGGCCTCGCCACCCGACTGGCACCGAGACCAGGCGGCCTGCCCGGGCTGCGGAGAAGGGAGGCCTCTGCCGGGGGCATCCTGGGCGACCCGCCGGCCAGTGGGAGGGGAGGCTGGGGGGAGCGGCCTGGAGTGCTCTGAGGGGCTGTGCCTGCCGAGGCCCTGCTGGGAAGTGGGCTGGGCAGAGGGCAGGCGCCCCCAGCTCTCCCGGCTCTTCCCATCTCTGTGTGCGTCCCTTGTCTCTGGCTCAGACTCCAGTCGGGGAACGAAGTTGCCAGGACTCAGGCGCGTGGCTGTCACTCGGTAAATGGCCCTTCCGTGAGTGGACCATCTGGAGTCAGTCCCCAGCCCCAGAAGTCAGAGGCAGGAGGAGGGTCCACCGGGGGCGCCGAGGCCCGGAGGAGAAAGGAGCCCCCTCCCAGAGCCTGCTGGAGCCCGTGTAGCCTCCTGGGGTGTAAGGCAGCCTCAAGGCAGCCCCCCATCAGCCTCTGTCCATCTGCCCGCCCCACCCCGGTGTGGAGGAGGGTGGCTTGGAGGCCCCACCTGGCCCACTGGTGCTGCTCTCCTGGAAGACTCCCAAGAGGCCTGCCTGCCTCTGAGGAGAAGGCCCCAGGCGGGGGGCTCTCCAGGCCAGAGGCAGACGCATAGCCGCCCCCGAGAGGCAGGCCCGCCGGAGCCCCCGCCTGCCTGGGGGGCACCGTCTGCTGGTAGGGCCCTGCCTGCGGCCGCCTTGCCGCTCTGGCCTTCCGTGGTCCAGGCTGGATGCTGCCCCTCCCAGGACCCCCTCTTCCCTCCCAGCTCCTCCTCCAGAGCTGGTGTAATGGCCGGGCCAGCACCTCTGGCTTCTGCTGACCCTCCCTCTTTTTTTTTTTTTTTTTTGTTGAGAATTCAGATTTTCTACAGATTTGTCTGTGGGACACAGTGTGAGGACTGGGGGTCCTAACGGGCTGGGGGCAGTGCCTCTGGTGTCTGAACCCCCCCCCAGCACCCCCTGACCTTCAGCTGAAGTCCTGGTGGGTCCCTGGGGCCGTGGCTCAGGCGCGCGGCCAGGAGCGGTGCCTGCCCCCCACCCAGGACTCCTGGCAGCGGGTGGGCACGAGGGGAGGGGCAGGGGACAGCGCCTTTCACCTGGGACCGTCCTGCCCCCACCCCACCTCCTGGGTTCCAAGCAGCCCCTGCCCTCGGGCCTTCGGAAAGTAGGAGGTTTCGTGGGCCCTGTGTTTGCAGAGGCTGCCGACTGAACAGCCAGCTTCGCTCCAAGTCTGCGGGGGCACCCACGGTGGGCAGCCCCCGCCCCACGTCCCGGGAGGCCCACATCGTCCTTGTGGGGCGGCGACCTTGAACTTGCTGCCCTGGGTTTGGGGACTGAAAATCGTGATTCTGATTTGGAATTCAACCCCAGAAGATGCCTCCTGACCCGGCCGTGTGGGAAACACAGCAGCTGCTTCTGTTTCCAGCATTTTTGTTTTTTAAATTGAAACATCATTTTCATTGTTTTTCTTTTGACAGAAGTGTGGTTTTATCTTGAAGCAAAGAAGGAGCTGCAGAGCGACTTGCCGAGTCTTGGGGTGGAGCCGGTGGATGACGGGGCCTGGAGGAAGCTGTCTTAGGGGATTTTCAAGGGCATGGGGTCCTGGCCAGGGCTCTGCCCCCAGGATTCACGCAGCCCTGTGTGGACACCGCCCCCGGCAGCTCACCTGCCACACCCTCCGGAGGGGGCGCTGTCCTGCACCCCCTCCGTCTGCCTCCACCACTTTGGGTGGGGTAGAGCCCCCAGGAGCCCAGGCATGATGCAGGAGTCAGGGGTTCCCGAGGACGGGCCGCTTCTGGGAACTCACTGCTGGGACACCTGCAGCCTGGCCTCTCCTGACAGACATTCAGGGGCGGAGGCCCTGCTAGACCAGGCTGGCAGCGTCTGTGTCTCCTGGAGCTCCTCGAACCAGAAGGAGGCTGACAGATGCCGCTTGCTCCAGGCTCCCCAGCTGCCACCCCACGTCTCGGGCTCAGAACTCCATCAGCTCCCTCATCGTGGAGGTCCTGGAACCCCCTTTCCCTCACTGGCTGTCATTCCTCTCTGTTCCTCATGCTGAAGCTGGCCCTTGGCGGGGCTCATGGCCCAGCCGCTCCCCCTGCCCTGGGAGCCGGACTGAGCAGAGGTGGAGGGTCGCCTGGGGCCGGGGCTCAGCTCCCCCGTCCTGCAGGGGATCAGCTCCACCCCGCTGCCCCATCTGCCACCTGTTGACCGTGTATTGGGGCAGGTGTGTTGAGGGAAATTGGGTGGGAAACCTACTGAGAGAAAAGCAGGAAGGGTGCAGGGCTCTCGTGCTCTGGATTGGTTTTGGTCGTTAGCCTCCTCCTGCTTTTCATGTTAGAACATAATTATTCCACATCGACCTACGTCCTAAAGGCACATGGACCTCTGCTTCCTCCATCCCTCATTACATCCATCCCCATCCACCCACCCACCATCCATCTATCCATCCCTCTGTTTATTCATACTTCCATCAGTCTGTCCACCTACCCACCCACCATCCGTCCGTCTGTCCTTCCAGCTATCCCCCCACCAAAGCCCTGCTCTGCACACCTCCTCTGCCTGTTTGTCTCCAGTGCCTGCACGCTGCCCGGCTTGGAGTAGCGGCTGCACCAACTGGGTTCTCCGCATTCACCCATTCCTTACAAATACCCGCTGGGTGCCTTGTGTAGGCCACATGCTGCTCCAGGTGCCGAGGTGTGCTGGTGTACAGAACTGAAGAAATGCCCACCCTCTGGGAGATTCGTTTGTGAAACGCACGGCGTCCTAGCCCGTGACACGTGCAGAAGACGGAAGAGGAAGCAGGGAGCTGGAGGCCGTGTTGCTGGAGCTGGGGTGGGGAAGGCCTCGTGAGGAGGTAAAGAGCGAGTGCAAAGGCCCTGAGGCAGAAGCATGCCCAGCTTAGCTGAAGGAGCAGCGGAGCCGTGGGTCACCTGGTGGAGGAGAGACGTCGGGGCAGGGCGAGTGCTGGGTGGAGTGAGATGGGGTCAGCTGGGGATGCACCTTGAAGACCTGCAGGATTGCGGGGGTTGAGGTGGGGGCGTGGACCACAGAGCAAGAGAGAACAAAGGCGGACGTGGAGGATTTGGGCCTTAACGACAGAAGACTGCGTAGCTGTCAGCCCAGCAGGAGGAGCGGGTGTGGGGCACGTCAGGTCTACGGTGCCCTGGACGCCCGAGGGGGCTGCCGCACCACCGCTGCTGAAGCCAGGGGAGACCAGGAGACAGCGAGCTCCCCGGGAGGTGGGGGGGCGGCCCAAGCCCCAGGCCCCAGGGCTGAGTCAAGGGGATGGGGGGCCTTGCCAGGGCCACGTCTGGTGCCTGGAGCCCCTTGGGGCAGGTGGCCCTGCTCTGAGCGCTGAAGTGGGGGTGGGGTGCTCACGGGGACCGGGGGGTGCAGATGGCGAGCGTAGGAGGGAAATGGGTGCGGGATGAGGGGCGGGGGGTCAGCAGGGCGTTTCGGATGGGAAGCAGCAGCTTCATCCTCGTGGCTGGGGGCTCAGGGGCCCGTCCACTCGGGTCCAGGGGTGACTGTGCCAGTGAGGGAGGGGCTGAGGGCTCTGGGCGTCCCCTCCCCCTTCCTCCCACTCTGCGAGGGCAGCAGGTGGCCAGGGAGAGGAGGAGGTCGTGGGCTTCGAGGCAGGGGGTGAGCCCAGCCCTGTGTGGATGCGGGGAGATCTGGGGGCTCTGGGCGGAGGCTTTGGATCCAGGGTCTGGAGTGTGGTCGCACCCCAAGTAGGAGGTTGGCAGGTGCGGGCCCCTCCGCCGGCTCCTCCACGTGGCTGCTCGTCCGGCTGCCCCCAGGCCTCCCGGCGTGTCCCCTGCTCTATCCCCCGAGCCCCAGACCTGGCTGATTGGTTGGGGGTGCATTTCAGAGGCAGCTGTGAAATCTGACAAGCGGTCCCTGCAGACATGGCCTCTGGTTTCTGGAAAACCGATCACCTGCCTACGGCCTCTTGATTCTCGTTTGGGAGCCGTCCTGACCCTCAGGCTGCCAGCGGGGCCCCGGAGCCACCCTCCAAGGCAGGGACGGCGGGGAGGCAGGCGCTGGCCGGCCGGCCTCCGGGCAGTGCTGGCCCGAGGGGTCTGCTGGGCCGGCTTTGCTGCAGGGCTCTGTGGCCAGGGGACTGGGACCGCCAGGCCTGGGCTCACCCCGGGGAGAGCGCGGATGGTGCAGACGTGCCAGCCGAGAAGGGCACCAGCCACCACCGGCCGCCCCGCCTTGGGACGCCCAGATGAGCCGCCACGTGTGTCCGGGGGTCGGGGGAGGAGCCCCCCCTCGGAAGTCGGTCTTGCACGTTCCATTAAAGCCAGTGGTGGGCTCCTCGGGCAGCCCCCTAGCTCGGCGCTCAGGGCCGCCTCCAGGGGCGTGGGGCTGCTGGCCCGAGCCCTGCGCCGAGACCCGAAGGTGTTCGAAGGCAGCGGGCAGCGTGTGGCCTGGGAACGGAGGGGTGGCCACGTCACGGATCACGACGACACACCCCCCTGCGAGAGGCGGGCACTTGGACCAGGCTGCCGCCGCCCTCAGATCCCCCGCACCCCCCAACCCCCACCCAGGGACCCCGCCTCAGTACCCTGCCCGGGGCTCCAGGCCCTTCTCCTGGGGAGCTGGGTGTGCAACGCAGGTGAATAAGTGCATTTGGGGTGAGGGAAGTCACCTCCCACCCCGTGTCCTGGGGCAGAGCTGGGGCCGGACCTGAGGACACATGCCAGCTCTGCAAGGTGGGCCGGGCTCAGGGCCTCCCCACCCCGCCGATGGGGCTGCGTGGCTGAGGGCAGGGGTTCTTCTGAAAATACTTTCCTATCTTTTTAGAAGAAAAATAATTCACTTCCTCTAGGATGCTTTTAAAAATAATTAGCCTCTGAAGACACGGCTGTCTGGCTTGTCTTGTGGGAAGGGGCGGCTCTGGGGGTGGGATTGCTGCCCGCTGGGGGACATGGGAGAGAAGGAAACACTTTTCTTCCTTGCAGTCTGTAAACTGTCTGGAGAGCTTCAAAGTTGGAGAAACCATAAAAAAGAAAATAAGAAATAACAGAAAGTGAGGTTGCCATGGAAACCGTCCTCTCCCGCCCTAGCCCGCCAGTGCTGGCACCGGAGCGTGGAAAAAGCTCGCAGGGCTGGCCGGGCTCCCACCCGGAATGCGGCCGCAGCTGGGGGACGCGGGGGTCGGCTCCCACCGTCAGGGAACATTCCAGCACCCGGGGTGGAAAACAGGCCACCTCCCTGGCTGCGCTCTACCCTCCGGCTCGGGCCAGCCTGGGGGCCGCGGACGCCCCGCGTTCCTGGGGCGGGACGAGAAAGGGCCTCTGGGGCTGGCAGGAATTTGCTTGACCTTGAGTCAGTTCCTTCAGAAGAAGCCACAGTTCTGGGGGTCCTGGGGGCCGGCTTGGGCCGCTGGGAGGGGGCCCACATTCCGCAGCCGGGCACCGGGCCTCCCTGGCCGGCCTGGAGGAAAACGGCGCATGGCAACGCCGCAGTGTTTCCAAGCAGCCCGGTTTCTAGGTGTTCCCGGGAACACGCAGCCACACCAGCCGCGGCCAAGGGCGCCGGCGGGGGAGCCGGCGAGAGCTCAGTGGGCAGCGGCCGCGGAGCCGGGCCCCAGCCCTCATCTGACCTTGTTCCTGAGGCCCTTCTCCCAGCAGATGGGAGAGGGCCTGGCCAGGGGCCCCCTTGCCGGCCTCGGAAACCACCCAAGGCCCAGCCCAACCGCCACGTGGTCCCACCGTGGGCCCGGCACCCGGCCGAGCCTGGCCTGGCTTGACCCACATCTCAGAGACTCGACCGTCCACCTGGCTTTGCCCCTCACAGCCTGGCAGTCCATTCGGTCCCCTGCTGGCTTCTCCCAGCTGGTACACGGGGGCACGCTCTCTGCCTAGGCTCGCCACCTCCTCCTTGGGCGCACGCGAGGGTTCCGGGGTCCTGTTGGGGGTGACCTCGGGGCTGGTCCTGTTGGCCAGTTGGCAGGAGTATGTAGCTGTTGTTAGGACGGCCAGTGCCAGCTCAGAGAGCCAGGCGGGGGCACTGCCTGGAACCCCAGCGCTGCCCGTGCACGGGGGCCTTTCCGGCCGAGGCCACCAGCAGGGCTCGCTAACACTCCCAGCTGCACGAGGGGTCGGGAGGGCCACACCCGGAGGCCTGCCTGCCTTCTGACCAGGACCCCAGACGGACCCAGGGACTTTCGCCTTGGCCGAGGGGACAGGGAGGCGCCCTGCTGGCACGCCCAGTCCTTGCAAGGGACTGAGCCTTGGGAGGGGCTTGGTGAGGACCCTCGGCCGGTTGCCCCTCCACCTGCCCAGGCCCCTCTTGGTGCGGCCTCGGGGGGGCCCAGAGACCCTTGTTGGGGGCACCCTCATGCAACCCGAGGCCCATCCGGAGCCCTGGGAGCTGCCCTTCCTGATGAGGCGTTTGGAGGTCGACACAAATGACTCATTCGGATTGTGGAGTGACAGCCGGAGACGCCCCACCTGGCCGTGTCCGCCGCTGCCCGCCTACCTGGGAAGGCCGCTGCTGCCAGCTGTGCCGTGACCACCCTGTCAGGCCTGCGGGGAGAAGAGGAAAAGGCCCTTGAAGGCACTGCCCGGGTCCCCCGCATCCGGGCCTGAGGACAGCGGAAGCCTCAGGCCCGCCCTCGTGTGACCATCCTGCCCTCCCAGGCGCATTGCTGCCTTTGAGGGGGAGTGTGCGCCAGCCCCTCTCCGCTCTGCCTGCACCTGGAGGGGGGTCCCTGCGAGCCCTGGGACCTGGGTCTCCGGCCCTCAGCCCCCGAACCTTGCCGTCCGATCCCAAACGTGCCCACAGACGGATGGAGCCAGAGCTGGAGCCAGACAAACCCAGTCCCAGCCCCACTGCGGGCGCTGCCCTGTAGAATCCAGGGGCTGCTCTGAAAAGTGGGCGTCAGAGCTGCACTGAGGCCTCACGGAGGTGCGGAGTCTGTTTGGGGAGGACACAGGAGCTGCGTTTATTTCCCAGCGAGAAGTGACAAGCGGCAGCTGGGACTCGGGGTCTGGGGCCATGGGCGCTGGTGTCCCCTCGTGAGGCAGGAGAGGAAAGGCAGCGGGTGAAGACAGGAGGTCGCGGGGCTCCCAGGGGCCCAGCTGTGCAGCCCCGGGGCCCAGTCCAACGTTTCCGGCTCGACCATGCGGGCTTCTACTCTGCAGTGAGTGACGGGCTCACCCCGCCTGCCCGCAGGGGAGGGTCACCTGCCCAGGAGGACCACCTGGGCTTCACCTCCAGGCAAGGGCAGGGCACTGTGCCCCAGCTGAGCCCTGACTGCACCCTCCGTTTCGGCCCAGCCTCGTCCCCGCATCCTCGGGGGACAAGGGAGCCGGTGCCGTGTGGACGGCAACCCTGGATCCTTGGGCTGCTGGAGCTGCAGAGTCCCAGGTGCCACAGGCTGGGCTTTGCCCTGACTTAGCCCCCAGAGGGACTTAGGGGAGTGGGCGGGCTCCCCCCACCCCTGCCCTCTGTGGCTGGTGGTTTCCTGTCATCAGAGCCTGGGGGCGCCTGGCACAGGCTTGGTGACCCACCAGGTTCTGACCCCTTGCCAAGCTTCCACACCTCAAGCGTGGTTTGGGTGATAAAAAATTAAAGACAAAAGATTTTAAAATTCCTTCATTTCTAGTGGGGGAGATGGGCCTTGGCTCGGACCCAGGAGCCGCGTTAAAGATTCTGAAGTGCGGGTATTCAGCTCTAAGAATAACCGGAGCCTGTCAGGCTGCCAGCTTTAAGAGAAATAAACGGGGTTACAAGAACCCTGAGAGTTTTTACAGAGCCCTCAGGGCTTCGAGAAAACAGAGGCAGAGCCGGGAGGGAGCCAGCGGATTAGCTGACGGTTCTGGTAGACCCGAGGGCTCGGGGGCTGGCCCGGTGGAGACCGGTGCAGCTGCAGCCCGGGCGGTGTGTGAGGTGGAGGTTCTGTCTGAGCCCAGAAACGCTGACGGGGCGCCCACTGTGTGCACAGCGCTGGAATCAGGAGGGCTCAGAGCTGGGATGCTAACGGACTTCCTCTCGGAATCCACCTGGACTCCAGGTCAGTGGGAAAGCGTGCGGGGGTCAGTGGGGAGACCTGAGACCCAGGTTTGGGGGGGATGGGGATGGGGCAGGATGTGGGAGGGGCCGAGTGCACCCGAGGTCCTGCAGTCCCCCATCCAAGACCTTCCTTCTGTCTGTGGCTGGTGTCCTTGTCTTCATGATTCTTGTGCTCAGGGTTCTTGAGTGTCTGAGATCTGTGGGTTCATAGTTGTCATCAAATTTGAAAACATTTTGTTTGTTTGTTTTTGTTTTTTTGCCATACGCGGGCGTCTCACCGTTGTGGCCTCTCCCGTTGCGGAGCACAGGCTCCGGACGCGCAGGCTCAGTGGCCATGGCTCACGGGCCCAGCCGCTCCGTGGCATGTGGGATCTTCCCGGACTGGGGCACGAACCCGTGTCCCCTTCATCGGCAGGCGGACTCTCAACCACTGCGCCACCAGGGAAGCCCAGATTTGAAAACATTTTGGCCATAATTTCTTCAAATATGTTTTCCATCCCCTCCTTGCTCATCGCTTTGGAAGCTCCGATTCTGTGTACGCGTTTGGCCTCTTGAAGTCGTCTCAGGGTTTAATAAGCAAGATCTGCTTACCGTGTCCGGTCTTATCTTGCTTTGGGTTTCATCTGGGATGGCCGTGTCTTCAAGCCCACTCGCCCGCTGCGTGGCCATTACCCCTCCGTCAGACATCGCAGTTTCAATCTCCAGACGTTTGATTCAGTCTTCTCAACCTTCCATGTTCCATCAGTTGTCACCGGTCCAGTGTACGTGCCCATGAATTCTTCCACTTGTGTCGTCCAGGGTCAGTTCTGATGGACTGATTTTTCTCCTCGTTACGGGTTCTGCTTTCCTGCATTCTCTGTGTGCCCGGTAATCTTCGATGAGAAGCTAGACATTGTGGGTTTTACCGTCTTGGCTGCCGGATACTTTTGTATTCTTGTAAATATCCTTGGTGCTGTTACGTTACTTAGAAACAGTGCCATCCTCTTGGGTCTTGCTTTTCAGGTTCATTCGGTGGGGTTTAAGGTAGGACCCTTGTGAGTACCAACGCCCCGTGAATTTGGAGGTCTTCTGGCCCGGCTGTTGGAACGAGCCCGCACTTTTCACAGCCTGTGTGAGCTCTGGACCCGACTCCCTTTAACCTTCTTGGTGGGTCTCTCCTGGCCTCTGGCACGATCCTCACATGCACGGGCTGATCCGTGCTCTGCAGACTCTGGGGCTCTCTCCTCTTTGTGCTGCGAACTCTTGCCGCCTCGGCTTTCCGGGCCTCCCAGCTCCGTGTCTCCCCGCCGGGGCATCCCTGAGCCCGCCTGGGTCCCCTGCCTGCGCCACCGCTGGAGACCCCGGAGGCAGCGCGCTGGGGGACCCGAGGGCTCACCCCCATGGCTCACCCCGAGGGCTCACCCCGACGGTTCAGCGTCATGGTTTCCCATTCCTCGACGTCAGATGTACAATGTCTCGAGGACTGTTGTGTCCTGGATCTTGTCCAGTGTCTTACTTGTTTACTTGCGGGAGGGCAGATCCAGCCCCTTGCATTCCATCTTGGCTGGAAGCAGAAGTCCGTTTCTGCATTTACAGACCAAACCGAGACCTGGTGCCCAGACAGCACCAACTTGTCTTCCAGTGACCCTGCCTGAAGGGTGGGGCTCCTCAGGGGGAGGGCGACCTCGAGCTCCTGCTGCGTGGGGCTGTCTGTCCAGGGCCTTTGTCAGGCGTCTTGACCTGACAGATGTGTCCCTGTGACACGAGGCCTGTAGTGAAGCCCCCCGGTGGG